ATCACTATGTCATCCAACATGTCTCGCGATGGCGATTGTGCAACAGCTTCGTCTGAAACTTACAGCCGCATATTATGATTATCTCTGAAATCTTTGATTAGGCAGTGTCTACATGATGAATATAGAGAGATACTGCTGGAGGATGCACGCCACAGTAAAAAGGTAACATGGGTGTGGGAAGTTAGAGAGGATGTATGGCATAACAGTGCAATTATATAATTGTAGAAGGCTACGTACGCCAGGCACAAGTGAATGCAATTATTTGATAAAGTAACGCAGATTTGAGGATGTACGGAACACGTGATAAGTGCTTGCACAAATAGTGCCATTCCGTTCATCCAGGTGACGCGTGCAGAATTTGGGGATAGGAATTCTATATTCATCAAGACGCAGACGATGATAATAAAATACACCTCATAAAAAAACTAAAACGTATACTTAACGCACACTCGCAGGCCTACACGTACAAACGCACTTGATTATATATATCTGTATTTTGTATGCTTGCAGCAACTGCACGCAACGCGCATACAAATATCACCAAGTGTGCTTGACCGCGTTAGCGAAAATGTGATTGATGCACGCGATGAGGCTTTTACGTTAAAGCCTACAGCGATTATAATGGTTTACACTGAATGAAGCTAATGAAACCTGATATGTTACCTGAACTTTAAAAAATGCATTTTGCATTTACGCATTTACGGGCAAGCGACAGAATAGGGTTCTTGATGAAGCATACAGAGGTTTAGTTATTTTTATCCGTGTTTCCGATCTGACGGCGTATATACATGTGCGTCAGTTGCAATAAGCGCCAGTATTCGTTAGATAGAACGAGAAGGAAGGCCTCACTACCGTTGCTTCCGCTGAGAGTGCAATTGCTACCACGCTCTCATCGTGATCATCTCGGAACAGTAGCCCTAGTAATTTGTTATGCGCCTCTAAGCGAATCGAAAAATCATCTGCTAACTACGTTACTCGGCGGCACGTTACTCTTTTATTCTGACGGGTCGGAAGGCGGACGCAATGAGTGCGACGGTACGCCATCAACATGCTTTTATCATTCCTTTCGATACTCGCGTGTGAGCTTACACCCGTCACGACCACGTATTTATCCCTATTCTTGTTTACTGGCTTCCTAGCAACACGACGGTTCTGTTGGGCGTTTTGACGTCGGTTTCACCGGGCTTTTGATCAACAATTAGAAGCAGTTCAAGCGCGCAGGAACAGATGATACTTTTGGGTTCGGGCATTTGTTAACTTGGCGTGGGATGAAGTCGCGTTCGCCTTAGATTCTCAGTGACAATTGTGAGGGTTTGCGCGTTATAAACAAGCCTCTTGAACGCACTTCTTATATTGAAAAATTGGGTGCCGTATACTATTTGTTTGTAATTCGTCTGCCGATGCTGCGAAGTCGTGGCGTCGTGCATCTGTGACCGTTGAGGTGTCTCAGTGATACATTGCGCATTTTTCGTTTCGCATTTGCGGGTGGGTGTATTTAGCGAATAACCTTGGTTGTTACCTTTGAAATTCATAGTTTCGCCAGCGAGTTAGTGTTTCACCTCAGTGTTCGATTCAGACCTATGAGGCAGACACGTCATTATCTTTATTAAGTATGGTTGGGAGCTCTTGTACATCGCAGGTATGTATGGGCCTGTCGAGATTTTGGTTAAGTCGGGATATATCAGCTCGGTGCCTTTACTGCATCAGAGTGTTATCCGAGATGATGGTTTGCCGCGTAGCTGACACGGAACTTGATCTTCAATTCGTGTAACGGCTGATGCGTGTGTGTATTGCTATCTACGTCGTTTGATAATTGTTTACTTGTTGTTAATTCTGGTCATAGTCCTTCTTCACAGCTTATTGGTCGATTGCGAGGGGTGAATCCATTCGGCTCGGCTCTTGCAATAAGGTTTAGATCGAGAGGTGGGAGCGGATTTTTCATTTAACGCAAAGTTAAGACCAGCGTTGTTACCAAGGCAGTGTCACGTGGGCGTGCAGTTTGCGTTACAACGCCGGAGTAGGCTTGCACGAGAGGGGAGGCGCGTGGGCGGGGCCCGATGTGTTACGATACTTTGGTGTCTACAAATTTTGACGATATTTCCACCGTGATACATTGGGTATACTTGGCTGTACATGGCGTATTTTTTGGGTCGATAGAATGTAGGAGGTATTACAGGGGTGCTTATAACTTGTTGTAATACAAAAAGAGCCACATATTACGAGATTCGACCTGCTTTTTTTCCAGCTGTCGCGCTACACTACTTTCACACAATACCCACACTAGGTCGCACGCTCGGTTCGGCTATGGACACTTGCTAATATCAGCGCGGGTAAGATGAGACGCTGCGTGCGTGCTGCTGCGGGCTGGCTTCATTAGATGTGCAGTGTCCATTGTAGCACTTCAATCACGGTGTTTATCGCAGTGCATGCCAGTCGAACGCAATATGAACCCGGCGCCTTTGGTAACTGATCAGGAGAAGCCGTAACGCGCCGTTCGACGTAAACAATTCGTTTAGACGCGGAAAACCCCCAACTTCTCGCGTTAGCGAAGAACGAAGACAGAATATGCACCGCAGACAGCAGACAGCTATTTCCCACGAATTCACATCTTACAGCTGCTATACCAGTAAATTTCAGGCAAAGTAACGATCCGCATATATCGAATGGGTGCGCACGTATCTTACATTAACTCGTTATCTACGTTAACGGTTCATACAATTGTTTTTAAGCGCTTCAGGTCTATAGTTTAATTCGGCTGCAGTGTATAGCGCCGAGCACACGTGCAATGTATATATGCATGAAGATGGTCATATAGATATGTTCCCGATACAGAGCGACAGATGAAACATTTGCCAACTAGAACTCGTAAAAAAGGGGGGATTTTTTGCCCTATTTTACATTCATGGACTTACACAAATCGTAATGGTCACAGAGCATTGTCAGACCGTTTCTTTTTTTACATCCCATTAGAAAAGCTGCATGGAGGGCAACTAAACAGATTGTTTTTCCTGCACCGTGACAAATTACCGTGAATAAAATTTGTGCAGCGCGTTGCGTAATGCCAGCATGTGCATTTTCTGAAATGTTCATGCTAATGCTAAAAACAGCAATGCCGTGATCAACGCTTCACTGTTGCGTGCACATACACTCCTAGCGCTAAGCGAAATCGCGACGTTTTCATGCGGGGAACCTTCAGCGCAACAACGAGGAATAAAATCGCATTTTCCAAGCACACATGCCAATCTCACTACCCATATAGCACGGCTCAACATAAAAACCCCGCGTGCGTTCTGCAGCTGCAGAGTAGCAACGAGCATTTTCCTCCTAATACTTGTTTAAGTAGATAGTGTTCTCTGCTACCGAAACGGGAAACTGACCGAAATCAATTTTCTACAGCGTGTTCAACGCATAATGTTTTTTTCCCCTTACAAAACCCGACGAGAGCAGACTTTACTTCCACATTTATTCGCTAACAGAATCTAACGTCAAATATTACTGCAAGAGCGACAGCAGAAATCCGAACAGCCGCGTCTAACCAGCATGCCACTACGAACACGTGTACAGCATATACAGGTGTACACATGTGTTCAGAATGTAACTAAAAGCTAAAGATGGTCGTGCGAATTGTGCAATATCAGCGAAAATAAAATGATGATCAATGTTTGCGAGTTACGAGCAGTAGAAGCGTCAGCCACATGATGAAAACAGCGTTAGCAATGACACAAGGACAATCTAGAAAAGGTTGACTACACGCCGTCCCGTGAATATCCTAGTGGTGGTAATTAATAAGACAGCGATCGAGGAAATCGCATAACAACAAGTGTGGACAAGCAACAGTAAGTGTAACAAGTGGAGAGAAAAGGCACTCGTGACGAGGAACCGTGCTTCTACGTGTATGAATACCGATGATCGATGAGCGACGATTAAAAGTCGTGCACTCGTGTATCAAATACAATCTCGTAAAATGTCTTTCTTTCGCAGGTATGTTTACATGTAAATTTAGTAAACCGTTTCCAACAGAAGTGAGAAGCGAGTAGGGAACTTAATTATTAATGACAGTTTCTCACTTCGTCTTCCCACTTTCGTTCCACTCGAAAATACTATGAAACACGAAAATGTTATTTCACTGATAACACCCAGAGGGGAACAAAGCCACGCTTACATCCATCAGCAAATAATCTACCAGCAGGTGTCAAACATTCACCTCTAGCTATAAACGAACAACGGACAGAGTAATCAGATGACTTGTCACGCTGCAAACACACGACGACACCCACAATGACGTCCACCAGTGAACATCATCAGAAGTAGATAATAGGGAAGGAGTGTGACTTCAATAAACAAGGGAAATTACAGGGAAACAAGGGCCTTACAATACCTACGATTTACTGCGCGTAACTCAACCAACTTGAGCTCAAATCGTACACAGTACATTCGCCTAGCATCGTGGGAAATTGTTTCCTCGTATACACCCGCAATCCGGAGATACAGACTAAAACGTACGACACGATTCTCCATTCTGTTGCCAGCAAACCAAATCCATACCCCGCCTAACTTGAAACAATAGGCAGCTACTAACGACTCTTACGCACTCTTGCGCCCTCGGCGATGCGGTGTGGCTCGCTGGGAGATTGGAGCTGGAGCTCCTGCTGATTGCGGTGGGCGTGCGTGCGAGGGGGCATACTTACTGTAAATAGGTCAAAGATTAGCTTGCCGAGTGTTGCGTCGATGTCCAATCTCCCAGTGAGCCACACCGCATCGCCCAGGCCACAAGAGTGCGCAAGAGTCGTTAGTAGCTGCCTATTGTTTCAAGTTAGGCGGGTTATGGATTCGGTTTGCTGGCAACAGAATGGATAATCGTGTAGTACGTTTTAGTCTGTATCTCCGGATTGCGGGTGTATACAAGGAAACGATTTCGCACGATGCTAGGCGAATGTACTGTGTACGATTTGAGCTCAAGTTGCTTGAGTTACGCGTAGTAAATCGTAGGAATTCTAAGGCTAGTAAATGACGAATTTCCCTTGTTTATTGAAGTCACACTCCTTCCTTATTATCTACTTCTGATATCATGTTTCATATGCCAAGCAATCACCTATATTCGATATACGTAAAACGTGGGAGGGAGCTCGCTCGCATGTAATTTATTACGCTGCAAACACACGCCTACATCTACTAGTGGACGTCATATGACACCGTCACACGTTCCCGCTTTTCACCCGTAGCTGTGAACGGTAGAGAGAGAGAGAGAGAGAGGGGGGGGGCTCACACCTAGTGTGCGATGCGGCGACGATGAATGAACTACCGAGTGCCGACCATCTTCTGTATTTTCTCGTCGCTCCTCATAATGTTCGCTTTCACGCCACTGATGCGATCGAGTATATCATTGATCTGCCCATCCAGATCCACTAGCTGCATCTTCAGTGGCTCCACCTGTGTCTCAGTGATGCTGCAATAAGGAAAGCACGATGATACAACAGAACCACATGCACATTTCAAGCAATAAATATACACACTAGGCTAGTTATGCAACACATAGCAAAATTTTTTTACGGCAATGATAGAAAATCAATAAACCTTCAAGTTTCTAAACGTTTCTAAACATTTTTTCTTAAGATTATTTTAGAACACACTTTCATATGATATTTATTACTTAAGATGAACTATTTAAATTGTAGTTAAAATTTTCGAATGGTTGTGCGTACCTTTGCTCCTGTTTCAGTGCAAGCCTATGAGCTTTGTTCTCTTCTGCCCACATATCTAGTTCCTTTTGCATCGAGTCCATATCCTCCTATACACGTACACAAGAAGTTCTGTATGCACGAACTTACAATGCACCACGCAAATGCACGAAAGCATGTCACTCCATGCCAAACAAAGAAATGTTTCACGAAGTATGCCTTCAAATATAGTTCGCATATCACGTTTCAATCATGAAGAATCACAGGAGCAGGATCGTACCTGTATGTAGTCCATGACCTTGCCTAGTGGGTTAGCCGAGCGGGTCAGCGCCTGTATGCTACTTCGGAATCGCTCAATCTCCTTGGCAACGAGCTCACGTTCTTTGCGGCGTGCTGCCTCACTCAAGCCTGGCTTCTCCTGAGAAGCGTGAGAGGAGGCGGTGAGTGCAGTTATTCAGTTGCCACGTATCACAGCGTTACAACAACACATCAGCCACAAAAGTCACATGTATGGGAATTAATACATTATGTATTTTGTATTATGTATTAAACCCCAATGTATTATAACGAGGGGTTTACCAGAGTACATATATACACCATTTTTATTTTAAAGGATGAGCTGTAATACGAATGCACACACATAAGCATGCCCACATGTGAAAACACAAAATATTATTTGTATAATATAACAAAACTAGTATTAAATATTTCTTCAATATGAATGATGAATTCATTACTCTCTGAACAAAAGATGTAATAATGCACACTGGACCTATGACCTGGAGTAATTATCAAAAGGTAAATGCATGTGATTCTAACCCTTTCTATGCGAGTAGGAAGCGAGGAAGCTTTTTCTTCTTCCTGCTTCTTTACGTCAAGAATCTTTTGCATCAGCTGCCCATGCTGCCCATCATCTTCTTCATCTGCTGCAGCAACAACCTGCAATGCATCAGCAGCACGTTTTTCGTGTTAAGTAGATCGTCCACTACCATTTGTATAACTTACTGCATAATAACACATCGCAACTGTACCGTTTGCTGCAAGTTTCTCGTAAATCTCAATTCTGAAGGTGGCAGCACTTATATAGAAATTCATTATGCATTTGCACCAAGTAAACTGCGTGTTGAACTATAGTTTTTTTTTAGAAGTTTCTCCTAAATATCAATTATAAAGGTGATAAGAATTTGATAGAAATCTCATATCTGTATCCAACCATTAGAATACCTTTTTGTAAACTACTCAGCTACAAGCGTCGACGATAAATACTTACAGGTGCCACGTCTGGTTCCGGTGCTTCTGCAGTTTCCTCCACCATGAAATTGTCATCATCCTCTTCCTCCCCTGCCTTGCCGTCATCAACGATGAGATTCTCTACCCTACCAACACCCACTCTGCAATGATCATAACAAACTCACGACATTACTTGTTTATTATAGAGCACGCGGAAAAAATCACTAATTGGTAACAGCAATTTCTACAAAGGGTTACACACTTGCATAAATGAACTTTCCAGATGAGGTTAAAAAATATGGTGTTTTCTAACATGTCCTAGCATTTTGCTATTTGCATTTTGCATTTTGCATTTTGCATTTTGCTATCATCTGGATAGACTTTGGTCATTACATTAATTCATCTGTTGTAACATATTCTCTGCAATAACAGGATACTGGCATGCAATACTGTGCAGTCACAAATTTTTCTCCTGACAGCTGTGGGAGCTACTCGTACAGCTAGTGTTAGTAGTTTTCGTAGTCATACAGTTAGTGTTAGCAGTAGTAGTGGTAGTACAGGTAGTGTTAGTAGAAGTAGTGGTGGTAGTACAGGTAGTGTTAGTAGAAGTAGTGGTGGTAGTACAGGTAGTGTTAGTAGAAGTAGTGGTGGTAGTACAGGTAGTGTTAGTAGAAGTAGCAGTAGTGGTGGTAGTAGAGGTAGTCAGGGGTGGATCCAGAGGGTTTGGGTCACCAGTTTCCATAGTTCTAGTGACAGCTAGGGGGGTCCGGGGGCATGCCCCCCCCGGAATTTAAAAAAAAAATAGGCTATATTTGGTGGGCATTCCTGTGCAATTTTAAGGGTCAATGTCTGAGATCCCAGACGCTGTGACGTTTCTGGAAACCGGTGCAAAACGCGCCTGGGTAGTGTTAGTAGAAGTAGTGGTAGTAGTACATGTAGTGTTAGTAGAAGTTAGTCGGTGGTAGTACATGTAGTGTTAGTAGAAGGTAGTGGTGCAAAA